GCTGAAATCAAAGCCAAGTGACTTGGAAAGATGGAGCTAAATAAGAGGCAGACATTTTCACAGAATGGAAAACAGTAAGTAAGACTCCCAGGTAACCCACCTGGAAGATAACTAAGAGGTAAGTATGAATGACTTCCATGCCATTAAAAAAAAGCAATATAATCCTATGACTGCAAAACAAAAATAATTAAGGCTCTTATTTTTTTTTTTTGTTGTTGGTCATGGGGCTTGAACTCTGGGCTGGGCGCTGTCCCTCAGCTCTTCAGCTCAAGGCCAGCGCTCTACCACTTGAGCTACAGCGCCACTTCCGGTTTTCTGGTGGTTTATTGGAGATAGGAGTCTCATGGTCTCTCCTGCCCGGGCTGGCTTTGAACCGCGATTCTCAGATCTCAGCCTCCTGAGTAGCTAGGATTACAGGCGTGAGCCACCAGCGCCCGGCAAGGCTCTTCTTTTTTTAAAATGCTAGGTTATCCAGTAGCAAGTAGTCTTATGATGGACAAGCCCTCCTTGGCAGCCTTGGGTGAGGATGGAATAGGAGAAGCAGTTGATGGTCTGGGTGGATAGGTGGAAGGTTTTGTTTTGTTTGTGCTGCTACTGGAGCTTGAACTTGGGGCCTAAGTGCTGTCACTTAGCCTTTTCACTCAAGGCTGGCACTCTACTACTTCAACTACAGCTCCACTTCTGACTTTTTGGTAGATAACTGGAGATAAGAGTCTCATGGACTTTTTACTGTCCAGATTTGGACTTTGATCCTCAGATCAAAGCTACCCAGATCCTGAGTAGCTAGGATTATAAGCATGAGCCACTGAGACCAGTGATAGGTGGAGATTTTTAATAGGGGAGCCCTTAGGCTTCAGGAGTCGGAGCTTTGGAGATCTCCTGTTTTGCAGGTTGTGAAATGATGCTTTTTTTTCTTTATCTTTTAGTAGCATCCATGTTTAGAGTGACAGTAATTAATGAGGTAGGATAAAAACTTCCCCAGCCGGGCTGTGCCCCTGTATCTCATAGCTTTGTTAGAAAAACTTGAGAGAATTAGGATAGGCTAATTAATTGGTCTTCAGGTAGGAAGTAAATCAAAGATCCTATGTGCCCTGGGAAGCCAGAGTCTCCTCTTTCCTGAGAATCAATCAGTTGAAGATTGATGAAGGGCTGCTGAGGTCAGACTTAGAAACACAAAACCATCTGCTAACTCTCTAGGGTTGGTACCTGCAGTAAAGCAATTTTAGAAGAACAGGTGTTCACTTTTAACTTACCTCTTCTTTTCTTTTATGCTGAAATCATAGTTTTAGCTGGAGAGAGCCCTCTGTTGAATGACGAAATTCACAAATTGTCTGTTGTAACTTAAAATAACCTGGCCCAAAGGTATTTCAATAACCTCAGCTGGCAATGGATCACACAAAGTCATACAGCAGTCTCACAGTGACAGCAGCCACTCTGGACTCTCTAGGAACCCTTGGCAGCCTCAGGAAACTGACTCCAAGGCACTACCCAAGAGAGTTACCAGCAAGGAATCACATCTCCAGTGACTGATGCAGCAATACCCAACAGATTGAGTTTGGTCCACGTCCTTCATATGGTGAACCTAGACCCAACCACTCTAACTGGCTGACTGACCTTAAACAGATTGTTTTGTGACATGGCCCAAACATTACTTTTCTCACATATAAAATGGGAATAACAATAACCACTAGGATATTCAGCAAATTACACAAGTCAAGATACAGAACAGTGTGACTAGGTAGCTACCATTAGTGAAAGACAATGAAATGGTCCTATCTTTAGCCTTCCTCTTAGCTGAGATCACAGGCTTGTACCACCATGCCTGCCCTTGCTCTAGCCCAAAGCCCAGTATATTTATTATTATTATTTTTTGCCAGTCCTGATGCTTGAACTTTGGGCCTGGGCACTATCTCTGAGCTTCTTTTGTTCAAGGCTAGCACTCTACCACTTGAGCCACAGTGCCACATCCAGCTTTTTCTGTGTATGTGGTACTGAGAAATCGAACCCAAGGGCTTCATGCATGCAAGGCAAGCACTCTACCACTGAGCCACCTTCCCAGCCCACCCAGTATATTTCTGATCAATCTAGATTTAGTAGCAGTCACCAGCCCCTAATTTGCCAGGAGAGGCAGCCCTTGGCCATTGCCCAGGCACTCACGGGAGTTTACCAACTCAAGGTGCCAGGCAATGATGTTTGGACACCAAATAACCCAAACGGCCAGTGCTCACAAACTGCAAAGTCATGAACTGCCTTTAACCTGAATTGAGTGTGGAACACCTCCTGTGATTTAGCGCTCCTTGATTTTCCTTGATTCCTCCTCAGGGAGATAGTCTTACTTATTTCTCTGCCCCAACGACACCAGGCTGTTATCCTCTTTTTGTGGGGGAGAGGAGGTAAAAAGGATTTACTGAGGTTTGAATTTAGGGCATTAGGTTTGTTAGGCAGCTGCTCCACCACTTCTGCCTTCCAGCACCCCATGCACACACCCAGAATTGGAGTGATTTATTTACTTATTTAGTTATTGATGTTCCTGGGACTTGAACTCAGGGCCGGGGCACTCTGCCCCTAAGCTTTTGTGTTCAAGGTTAGCATTCTATCACTTGAGCAATGGATCCACTTTCAGCTTTTGGGTGATTAATTGGTGATAAGAATCTCATACACTCCGGGCGCCGGTGGCTCACGCCTGTAATCCTAGCTACTCAGGAGGCTGAGATCTGAAGATCATGGTTCAAAGCCAGCCTGGGCAGGAAAGTCCCGGAGACTCTTATCTCCAATAAACCACGAGAAAACCAGAAGTGGCGCTGTGGCTCAAGCAGTAGAGCGCTGGCCTGGAGCTGAAGAGCTGAGGGATAGCGCCCAAGCCCAGAGTTCAAGCCCCACAACCAACCAAAAAAAAAAGAATCTTATACACTTTCCTGCCTGGGCTGGCTTTGAACTATGAGCCTCAGATCTCACCCTCCTAAGTAACTAGGAATACAGGTATGAGCCATTAGTACCCAGCATTGATGTGAGAATTTAACCTCTTTCTTTTCTACATCCACCCTGTAGAATGGACTGTGTTATAGCAGTTTGCATGTGCATAAAACACAAAACACTTCTCCCTTAAAGGTTCACTGGAGTACTACACACATATTGATGCAGGGATCCCTACTAGAAACTATTCTAATATTAATGTGCAGTGATTAATTAATATTGCCAAGTGAACTCCCTAATACTGCATAGTTTGTTCTAGCTCCTCTCAAAAATGAATATTTCTTATTCTTGCCGATCTCAGCAGCCCACTTGTTCTGCATATGGCTTTGTGTTTAATTAGTGGTCCTTCAGTGTCTACAATTAATATTGTGATGATTAATAAAATAACTTCTTTAAAGCTCTATTTGCTAGCAGAACTGCACAATCAGGTATAATAAATTCATCATTAATAAATCATGGCTGATTAGCTAACCTGTTTATTACTAACACATTACTGAACACTCCTCACATGAGCACAGATCATTTTTCTATGCTGAAAAAAACTAGAAGATGATTTTTTTAATGTTTTTTAAAGCTCCTCCAAAAGTGCAGTAAACAGCAAATCTATATCACAGCCAGAGGGAATTTGAAGCCAGGCACATTTAGAAGTCATCTGCTATACAGACAATTGTCACTTGGGAGTGAAGAAAGCAGTGGCAAAATCTGGAAGCTGGAACATCTTGTGGTTAGATTTAAACATAGACCAGAATCACCTGGAGGTTTGTTCAGACTCAAAGCACTGGACTCCATCTCCAAGCCAGTGTGATTTTTAACTCTGTCTTCTCTGAATCCAGCTCATAGACCCACTGCTTATAGAAGTTCAGAGGTATGTGAAAGACTCCCTTGATGTGGGACAGAGCCTGTGAATTTGCACTTCCAGCAAGATCCCAGGTGGCCTCATGCTGAGGATGAGGGCCTCATTGAGAGAATCTACTTCTACCATTTGTCTACTAGGGATGCTCAAAGTTGCTATGATTCTCATGTCCTTTTTTTCTTTTCTTTCTCCTTTCCTCCCCACCCGTCTCTTCCCCTTTCCTCCCCTCCCTTCTCCTCCCTTCCTTTCTTTTGCTAGTTCTGAGGCTTGAACTCAGGGCCTAGGTGCTGTCCCTGAGCCTCTTTGTGCTCAAGGCTAGCATTCTACCACTTGAGCCACAATGCCACTTCCAGCTTTTTCTGAGTAGTTTATTGGAGATAAGAGTCTCATGGACATGCTGGGAAGGTGACTCAGTGGTAGAGTGCTTGCCTTGCATGCATGAGGCCCTGGGTTCCATTCCTCAGCACTACAGAAGCAGAAAAAGCCAGAAGTGGCGCTGTGGCTAAAGTGGTAGAGGGCTAGCCTTGAGCTGAAGAGCTGAGAGACAGCACCCAGGCCCAGAGTTCAGACCCCACAACTGACCATAAAAAAATAAAATAAAATAAAATAAAATAAAATAAAATAAAACAAAAGAGTCTCATGGAGTTTCCTGCCCATGCAGGCTTGAAACTGCGATCCTCAGATCTCACCCTCCTGAGAAGCTGTATCTAGAATACAGGCATGAGTCACAGAACATTTTGCTTGCTAGGCAGGTGCTCTTACCACTGGAAGCTATGCTTCTAGCCTTTAAAATTCTTTCTATAGTTCGGTCAAGGTTGGAGAAAGCCTCACAGTTGTTGAAAACCTGTCAGTGATTCTCACCGCTGGTATAATGGCTCATAACAGTGTTGTGAATTGTTGTTAGTCATTCAGTTAACTGTTAACTCATTCAGTTGAGCCCAGGCTGACCCAGAACTCTTGCTCATCTTGCCTTAGCCTGACAGATCTGGTTAAATTCACTCTTAATTAGCAAAAGTAAATAAAAATAAGAAACATGGTAGTAGCAAAATTGCTAACATTAGCCTAGATTTTTTTTTGTGAGATGGCTAAGAATTGGCATCAATGACCACAATGAATCCTCTTAACCCCAAAGCCAGCTGTAGTACTGAATATGACAGATGTCACTGATTTAAAGTTCTGTTAAACTCATTTTATTAAGAGAAAGGAAGAATCCTTTTAAACTTATCACTCTAAAGCCATATATCAAAACAAATCAAGACACAGAACTTAATTTTACTATTATATTAAGTAGCTTACATACATACCTAGCTTTGTGGGGTTTTGTTTGTTGTTTGTTTGGGTTTTTTGGACTGGTACTGGAGCTTGAACTCAGGGCCTGGGTACGATCCTTTAGCTTTTTTACTTAAGGCTGGTACTGTACCAGCCATAGTTTGAGTCATAGCTTGACTTCCGGCTTTCAATGGTTAATTAAAGATAAGAGTCTCACTCAAACTTCCATCCTCCTATCTCAGACTCTTAAGTAGCTAGGATTACAGGCTTGGTCACCTGGCTTGTACTTTTTTTTCTTGGCATTAAATCATAAAATAGCTTTCTCTATATCCTCACAACCTTTCAAAGGCCCACAGATATTCTATAAGGCATTCACAACTAAATTTACATGGCTTCTCACTCTTCCCAATATATTCCCTCCCCCTGCATTCTTTGGTATTATCATCAAAAGAGATAGCATTATTCGAGTTGCTACCATCTCAACTAGAGTTTTTAAAATTCCCTTAGTTAATTATTCTGGAAGCATTATTACATTTCCATGGCTATGTCTTCCTTTTTCTATTTTTCACGTGAGGATTGAGTGGGCTACTAGGCAGGCTTGCTAAAGGCAGCCTCTTTCTTTTCATGCAGAAAACACTTTGTCCTCAGAGACAGCGGCATGCTAGTACAGCCTGTCTAGACCATCAGCGTGCCCTCTAAAACCACAGTAGCTGCACCCTTCACATCCACTCGTCCATCCGGTCGCAGAGAAATGTTCAGTTCTCCTCCTCGTCTGGAACACTGAAAGGCTGAACAAAGCACAAAAGGAGTTAAGAGTATAGTGAGGGGATAGTGAGAGACTTCTCATTACCAGCTTGGGAGTCCTCCTAAGGCAGTTGATGCTTTGGAAGTTTGTTGTTGCTGTTGCTTTCCCCCATCCTGGGGCTTGAACTCAGGGCCTGCCTACTGTTCCTGAGGGTTTTTGTTTGTTTTTTTGTTTTGTTTTGTTAAAGGCTAGCACTCTACCACTTGAGCCACAGCAAGTTAGTTTTAGTCAATGAACACTTACTGCGCACTTGGTGTATCCAAAGTGTCTGCATGTTGAGGGAAGCAGAGGTAAAGGGGTTTAGAAGTAGAGTACTCTTAAATTATGGAAGACTGTCGCACATGAGTGATACATAACATTTTACTACATTTTCAAGGGCATAGGAGACAGGCAAATAAAAAAAGCAATTGGAAAAGAACTGTCCTACCACGCATTTCTTTCTTCCCGAGCTGCTGGGACCAGTAGCTGCTGAGGATAGTGTGTGCAGATCCTAAAAAGAAGGGAAAAACTGTAAGGCAATCTCAAAGAAAACAGAGGTGCCTTTTCCATCTATATGTAAGTGATCACAATCCATTGTCTAGTTTGATTAAACCTTAGATCATCTAGTCTTCAAATTAACCTAGCCACAGCAGAATTTAGACTTATGAGCAGAGACCCAAAAGAAGACACAGAATTTATGAATAAGCTTCTTCCAGCTGACTGCAGATTTAATTTTAATTTTAATTGCTTCATATTAGTACTGGGGCTTGAACTCAGGGCCTGGCTACTGTCCTTGAGTGCTTTAGACCATGTTATACCACTTGACCCAAAGCTCCACTCTGGGTTGGTTTGAAGGGTGTGGGGGGAGTTAATTGGAGATGAAAGTCACACAGACTCCTGTTCAGGCTGGCTTCAAGCCACTATCCTCAGATTTGAGCCTTCTGAGTAGCTAGGATTACAGGTGTAAGCACTGGCTTCCAACTGCAGGATTTAATTTTTGTCCTTCAGTCAGTGCTTGATGGGAAAATCAAGATCTTCACACACATCTTTCCAGTGAAAGATGTAGCATGTCCTGGGGTGCACATGCAAGGAAAGTGGGGAACTCTGACAAAAGGCTATGCCCCCTTCCCCACAAGAGGTGCTTAAAAGCTGCCAAGAAACATTAACTGTCTTACCTGGGTCCATAGATGACCCAGGAACAGAATAAAACCTCGGCATCCTAGAGGTTTTCCATTTTATATCTATTTCTTTTCCCTAAGCCATTCTCTCCTATAGTCACTTTGTAGCCATCCTGGTTTGCACAAGGTGTGTCTGGCATGTAGCACTGCAAAGTCCACATTCCAAAAAGCCCCTGAATCTCAGGCCAATGCAGAAGGTTGCTCATCATAGTCCAAAGATCTTAGCACTCTAGAAAATGTCACTACACAGGTTAAAAAAATAACAAACCAACAAATATGCTCTGTGCCAATTGAAATCTTTGGGAAGCATCTGTGCTCCAGTGAATCTGCTCAGAATTTCTCTTCCATGGGGGGAAAAGAAGTGTCCATGTTGGATGTTTTCCTGAGGTGGCAAAAGGGCTGGCTTGCTGAACTTTGAATTTCTTTTGTTTTATTCCTCAGAGAATAACTAAGTCAAGGTCCTGAAACCACTCTCGCCCCCACCATCTGACAAGAAAGGGAGCCTTGAAACTAAGGGAGGCAGCAAGCAAGATCCCTGGTTGCTAGGACAACAGATATGGTTCCCAGGGCCCTGGATCTGCACACAGGATAGCCTTTCTTGACCTTCAAATAAAGGTCTGAGGTTAGCAAGTGGCTTACCAAATGATCCCTCCAGTAAGTCCTACCAAAAAGGGCTCCTAAAGATGCTGATCAAATCTCTAGGCTAGGCCCATACCTGGAGGGCATTAGGTAAGCAGGGCCTCCCCTTTGTATGCATGCATGAGGACAAGAATGATTATCCCACAATGACCTCTTTGCCCTATAATGCCCAGGAACTGGGTGGTTCAAGACTATTTCACCTCTATGAGGAGCCTGTGCAAATACACCTCTGGTACAGAAGCTGTACCTGTCAATCAACCTGTCCATCAATATTCACACCAAACAAAGAACCACCCACATCTCACCCTGACCCAAATAAAATCCCAGTCAAACTAAGCCTGGAACTATAGAACCTTGCTCAGCCTGCCCCTTGCTCTGCCCTCATTCATTTCAATAAACTTTTTCTATTATTCTCATGATGCTTTGTGTCTTGCTTGGATTTATCTCTCTCCAGATGGAAAGAGCTAAGGTAGATGTGTGGTACATTAACAAAACTTCCACACAGCCTCCTTCAGAGCTGGCATCCATGACACCCAGAATGATTCCCATCAACCCTTCCTCCTCCCTGGACTGCTAGAGCCATGGTTTTCAATGACCTATGAAAGGAGGAGGCATTGCATTCCTTTGATTTCATCCCTCTCTTCAGGCTGGTGGAAGATGTGTCCTTGGTTCAGTGAGCTAGTTGCTTAGTTACTAGAACAGCTCCGGTGATTAGTCAGTTTCTGAGTACTGTGTGCATAAAGCTAACTTGTCATCTGATCAAGATGGAGAACTGAAAGTTAGGAATGCATACCCAGGCTGTCTGACCCGGCTATAATGCTTTTCAGTGAAGAAATGGAGGGAGACAGAGAAACGAAGGGAGCTCAAGCAAGCATGGACAACTCATGCCTGTAACCCTAGCTACTCAGAAGGCTGGATCTGTGGATCAAAGTTCAAAGCCAGCCAGAAAGTTCCTGAGACTCTCAACTCCAATTAACCAGCAAAACTGCAGAAGTGAGGTATGGCTCAAGTAGTAGATCACCAGCCTTGAGTGAAAAAAGCTGAAGTAAGAGTGTGAGGCCCTGAGTTCAAGCTCTAGTACCAGCATATACACATAAGTAGCTCAGAACTAAAGCAACCTTGAAGGCCATGTGAAGGTCCTCTAGAGAGTTATTTGTTATCCTTGTCTTTTTTTTTTTTTTAAAGATGGGGTTATCACTATGTTGCTTAGTTTGGTCTTCAACTCTTGGCCCTCGCAGGTACTACCACTATACCCAGCTTCTCCTCTTTCATGTTTAACCCCTCCTGTGGTTTCAAAGAAAAAGTACCTGTTACAGGGTCCTCAGCCAGACCCCACCATGGAGCAAAATATCTGGAGTAGAAGTCAAATGCTTGGGTCTGCCCACCAGGCTCTCCTTTCAGAGTGAGAATGAGTCCTTTCACCTTTCCCGTATTTTCAATGTGAGGCAGAGTCTCTGTGTTCACCTTCAGGGTCTCTAGAAATGACCTTGGGTAGAAATGGTCTGGATTAGCACAAAGCCAGGTCATAGACTGCCGACTCCAGAAAATGGGAGTCAGGCCAGGGCAACTGCCCAGATGGCTGCGCAATACAGGGAGGCCGAGCAGAGACATGAGACAGAAAAGCCAAAAACATTAATATTGAAAACTTAGAAACTAGACCCAGAAAGTAAAGTGAAAAACCACCAGCTCTCTGCTCTTTTCTAGCTCTTTCTCAGCTCTTTCCTTCTCTTCTCTTTCCCAGCTCTCTTCTCTTTCCCAGCTCTCTCTCTTTCCCAGCTCTCCCAGCTCTCTTTCCCAGCCTTTCCCCACCGCATGGAGGACCAAGATGGCCTGGTGCCAGCCTGAACGAGGAATAAACCTACCCCTTACCTGAATACCATGTGTGTGCTGCTGTTCTTACTCACCTACCTAACATAAATGGTGCTGTGACTCGGATAAAGGGCTTAAAGTCAGGATAGGTGGGATTCCTCTCTGTTTTTTTTCCTCTTTTTTCTTTTTTGCTTGTTTTTCCCTTTTTGCTCTGAGGAATACCCACAGTTCTGACGGCCTTTTGCGAAGCAGTCTGTCTGCTGCGGACACAGCGCATCGATACCATTGCTGCCTTCACATCCACGTCCACACCACTTCTCTACTCTGGTGAGTGAAACTACTGTCTACGGTTCTCTGTTGCTCAGTCTCTGTCCAGACGTGGCGCCACGCCAGAGAACTCCTACGGCCTTTAGCTGAAAGGCCGGTCACCTCTGAAGCCGAGGACGCTTGGTTTTGGGGGTTTGGCCATTTCTCTCTAGAGGGCTCTGGGGAAGTCAGGACGCCGCTTCTGCCTGGTCAGCTCTCCTTCACTCACCAGACTGACTCTCCTACACACTTAATGGGGTGCTGCAAATCACACCTGAGCCGTGAAACCCCTTTGAAATGTCTCCTGTGCTCCCTGGAAAGCCAGAGCACCTCATTTTTATGCCATTCTCAGATGTACACAGCTTTAGCCACTGCAATGGTAAATGGTCAGAAGTCTCTTTACTTTCAAGCTCTCTTTGCTCTCCCTGCCATTCATGTCCAACTTTCCCTATCTCTCCCTTTCTCTTTTCTACATTTTGGCTTGTGTTCTGAAGAGTGCGATGCAGGCTTGGGCCCGGGGACCCCCCTCTAAGTTCCCTCTCAAAGGCTAGCCAATGTAGGCTTGATCTGTTTGTTCAGGGTTTCTTTGCATTCTTTCAGAAATTCGCCATCTTGAATTCGCCATCTTGGCCACATGGTAGGTTAAGGGTTTGGCCCCAGCTGATCCTTAACCTTCCACTAAGTTTACTACTCCATCTATTCTAAGGTGCCTTGCTAACAAGTTGCTCTTTTCACAGGCCCTGGTAACTGAGGCCCAACCATGTGATGTGCTTTGTTAGCAAAGATAGCTAAACATTGTTGTCAAAATTTTAGGCTTTGAGGGGCCGGGATGTAGCTCAGTGGCAAAGGGCTTGCCTAGCAAGTGCAATGTCCTGGGTTCGATCCCCAGTACAAAAAAAAAAAAAAAAGACAAAAACAAATACAGTTAAAAAAATTTTAGGCTTTGAGTTTTGTCTGTTTCGTTTTGTGTTGTGTATTCTACTGACTACATGGTTCTAAAATACTGGGCATATCTGTGCTAAAATTCTCATCACATCTAATGAGTTTTGTCATTTCAGAATATTTGTTGGCAATTCTTGATAAGGACCAGGTAAGCTCTACTTATTCTATTTGATCTCCTTGTTGCTTTAATTGGAAATAATAAAGGGCTTTTGTGACAAAGATTTCAGTTCAAAGCCAGCCTGGGCTGAAAAATCCCGAAGACTCCATCTCCCAACTACCCTGCAAAGAGCCAGGCTAGAAGCATGGCTCAAGACTCTTATATCTAACCAGCCAAACTCTGCAAGTGGTACTATAACTCAAAGTGGTTCATTACTAGCCTTGAGCAAAAGTGCTCAGGGACAGTGCCCAGGCCTTGAGTTCAAACCTCCTTGAATACCAACTGGGACAAGCCATCCCAGCAACGAGCACCTAGACTCAGCCAGTCTGGGGAACAAGGGACCATGGAGAGGAGTAAGAGGAGATGATGTCACATCAGCCACTTTGTGCCTGCCCTTTCAAAATTAACCAGAGCCGGGAGGTGAGTGGAAGTAAGAAGCCTGCCCATCTAATGTCTATACCTGTCTACCTATTAACTGAACAGGAATTTATATTGTTGCCTTTGTCACCTGACTTCTCTACCTAGTCGCCAGATGTCAGAAGTAGCTAGGGACATTTCTACCAACATTTTCAGCCCCAAGTCCTTCCTCTTGCCATTTATTTGCTCTCTAGTATTTTTTTTCCAGCCCCTCAGTGCTCATGAGATTTCTCCAGACTTCATCTAAGGATCACGCCACCAAGGGACAGCTACTTCTCTGGGAGGGGACCAAATTCCAGCCTTTTACCCCTATTGTCGACGTCCCTTGTCAGCAGGAAGTAGCCAGAGAGAATCCGCGCCCTATTTCATGATTATTAAAAGGCTGGAATGTAAGGTCCGCTCCTGGATGGCAAGCAGACCCCACCCTCCTCGCAGCAAAGTCTCCACTCAGTACCTGCGTTACCTAGGCAACCGGGACACCTGGAAGAGGTCACATCTGCATCTGCTGAGGTCACATCTGAATTTGATGTGGCCACACCTTTCTCCGCCCATACCCTAGATAAGGCCTGGCCCAGGCCCAGATGCCCTCTCTCTGCTCTTTACTAGCTCTTTCTCAGCTCTTTCCTTCTCTTCTCTTTCCCAACTCTCTTCTCTTTCCTAGCTTGCTCTTTCCCACATCTTTCCCAGATGCTCTCTTTTCTAGCTCTTTTCTCTCTCTTTCCCAACTCTCTCTCTTTCCCAGCTCTTTCTCTTTCCCAGATCTCCCAGCTCTCCTTCTCAAGCCTTTCCCCACCACGTCGAGGACCAAGATGGCCTGGTGCCAGCCGGAACGATGAATACACCTACCCCTTACCTGAAAAAAAAAAAAACACTAGCACTCTTCCACCAATTTCTCCTTTCAGTACAAGAATAAGAGGGGCTGGGAAGGTGGCTCAGTGGTAGAGCGCTGCCTTGCATGCATGAGGCCCTGGGTTTGATTCCTTAGCACCACATATGCAGAGAAAAAAAAAAAGCCGGAAGTGGCGCTGTGGCTCAAGTGGTAGAGCGCTAGCCTTGAGCTGAAGAGCTGAGGGACAGCGCCCCGGCCCAGAGTTCAGGCCCCATGGCTATACCTCCCCACACCCCCCCAAAAAGGAATAAGAGACAAGGGCTGGGAATGTGGATTAGTGGTAGAGTATTACCTAGCATGCATGAAGCCCTGGGTTTGATTCCTCAGTACCATATAAACAGAAAAAGCCAGAAGTGGCACTGTGGCTAGCCTTAAACAAAAGAAGCTGAGGGACAGTGCTCAAGTACTGAGTTCATGCCCCAGGTCTGGCAGTGAGAAAAAAAAATAATAGCAGACAACCAAGGCATTGTGGCATAGTCCTGTTATCCTAACTACTGAGGAGGCTGAGATCTGAGGATCTCAGTCCAAAGCCATCACCTTTTTGGCATCCCAGATCAATGATTAAGGGATTGATAAGTGATATAATCATGCGTGTATACCCCCAGCTCAGAAAGTATAAAAGACTGTACATAAGAACCACCATCTTGTGGCATCAGTGGCTCATGGCTGAAATCCTAGCTACTTAGGAGGCTGAGACCCAAGGATCATAGTTTGGAGCCAGCCCCGCCAGAAAAGCCCCTGTGAGACTCTTATTTCCAATTAACTATCAAAAACCAGAAGTAGTGCTGTGGCTCAAGTGGTAGAGCACTAGCCTTGAGCACAAAAAGGCTCAGGGACAGCACCCAGGCCTTGAGTTCAAGCCGTATGACCTGGGCGTGTGGGGGGCATGTGGAGAAACATCATTTTGAGACTTTACCCCCCTTTCTTGCATGGAAAGCAACCACTTTATTTCTCACTATGTTATCCTATTATTCTAAAACATTAAAATAAATCCTTGCTAAAACTTCCAACATGTGAAGTTCTTCTAGCTGTGATACATCTTGAAATTCATTCCATGTGTGGATCTCCAGTTCCTGTAGCTTTGAGTGCAAGCTGGGAGGCTGAGGAGACCCCTCTTTCTTCATCCAGTAAGTGTGGGCACAGAACAGGCAGACCAATACAGACCTAGAAATCCAAGGGTTCAGCCTTTCCAGTGCTGACTCCGTTCACCATTGTGTTTACCTTTTGTAAGAATCACTGAGCCGGACGAGAAGCTTGCGGGTGTCTGGAGAATACTGGATATCTTGGACCAGGGTGTCACCTATAGCAGTCTGTGCAAGGAGACAAAAACTCCTCAGAAACACACTTAAGGCCAAGGCCTTGATCCCACAAAAGAGAAGGAAGTATTCATGAAGCATCTGCAGTTCTCAACAGGATTAGTTCAATCTCATGACTGGAAGGTATTCCCGGCACCACAGGGCTTTCCAGGGCCATGTCGTTTGTACTCTTTGAGCTCAAAACCTGCTCACAAGGGACTTGTTTCATGTTAACTGGAAAGCCTATATCTCCACTAGAGCTGGAATTTTTTGGTCTCACAATTGCTAGGCAGGCATTTTACTGTTGAGCCAGGTCTCTAGTCCTATTTTTGCTGGCTTTTTTTTTTTTTTTGCTAGTCCTAGGGCTTGAACTCTGGGCCTGGGCACTGTCCCTGACCTTCTTTTGCTCAAGGCGAATGCTCTACCACTTGAGCCACAGCACCACTTTTAGCCTTTTTGAATAGCTTATTGGAGATAGGAGTCTGCTGGGCTTTCCTGCCAGACTAGCTTCAAAGCCTGATCCTGAGATCTCAGCCTCCTGAGTAGCTAGGATTAGAGGCATGAGCTACTGGTGCTTGGCAGAGGCAAACTTTTTTTTTTTTGGTATGGGGCTTGAACTCAAGACCTGGACATAGCCACATGTCCCTAGCTTTTCTGCACAAGGTTAGTGCCTTACCATTTGAGCTACAGCACCACTTCCTTTGCTGGCAATTTTTAAAGAAAAGTTCTCACTTCCTATGCAGGCACATACCTGGGAATGACCCGCTTATATTATGCTTCCCAGTAACTAGGCCCAGCACTTTATTAAGCAGGAGCCTTGAAGCCAGGAACTAGGGATTCACTCCTGTAATCCTAGCTACTCACGAGGCTGAGATCTTAGGATCACAGTTTGAAGCTAGTTCAGACAGGAAAGGCTGTGAGACTTACCTCCAATTAAACACCAAATAAGACAGAAGTGGAGCTGTGACTAAAGTGGTAGAGTACTAGCCTTGAGCACAAGCTCACAGGCAGTACCCAGGCTTTCAAGTCAAGCCCCAGGACTAGCTCCAAAAAAAAGAAAAACCCGTTCTTTCTGCTCAGACTAGAGTCAAACCTCGATCCTCACCATCTCAGCCTCCCAAGAAGCTAGGACTATATGTATGAGACACCAGCTCAGCTTGGCATGTAATGTCAGTGTCTCAGGAGAAACACAGAAATGACAATATTTATATACCCGATTATCCCTTTTCACAAACGCTGACCCAAGATTTAGAGAGACAAGGTGATGTTCTTCCTACCATAATAAAGTCCACTATAATTTTCTGAAGACTTGGACAATGCAAAACAATAAAGAGATTGTAAATGCTACAGCTGTATGTTAACTGAGAAACACTCCAGTCATTCCCACAACAGGCTATCCACAGCACCATTCTCTTTCCATGCAGCCCATGTGTTAGTCCAGACCTTCTTGCCTTCTCTGCACTCTAAGCGCCTGCTCATCTGGGCTCCTCGGGAACCCCTGTGGGACAACTGCAGTGACTCCTCACTGCATGACGCTAAGAATGAAATGGGATAATTCGAGGGAAACACTTAGCACCCATACGTTCAGAGGCAATGCAAAAACCAGTCACTACCCCAGCCTCTAGTGGCTAGTGGCTACAATCATACCAATTAAAATGTTTTATAATCATAAAAACGTAACTAGTATTCAATCATAAGGGTTATATAATTATGAATGATATAGCTCTATAATTATGGTGACATAATAATTATAAAGAGGAAATACAATTATATATTATTATAAATTTATTAATACAAATTCATATAGAATTATGTTATTAGCCCTACCTGTACATAGAGTCTCCATGAGGACACCAGGCTACATTTCCTGTTTTTTCAGGAGGCACCCACGCTTTCTAGTCTTTTCTATGCAAGCATATCTCTCCTGCCTCAGTCTCATTTTCCCCACTGAAACCAGGCATGCTGACAATGGCCAGGTGGTTTCCATTCTTTCCCACCAAGGCTTTTCTCTATTTATTTCATGGAATGATTTTTTTCTGTCCCAAATCCCTGACTCTCTTGAATTTTCATGATCATCCTCAGGATTCATCTCTCTCCTTGTAGCAAGAAATGGATAGAAATGCAACATCCCTTCATTGTGCAAAAGTGCCAGAAGATGCCCTACCCGCCTTCCTCACCAGGAATCCTCCAGGGATGTCTTGCACTTTCACGCTCTCTCCAACAGTCTCTCCTTCCCTCATCCCACAATGGAGGCTGATGTTCACAATTAAGAGTCAAGAAAACTGAGAGTGAATGGCTCACACCTATAATCCTAGATCTGGCAAGGCTGAAACCTAAGGGTTGTGGTTGCAAGCCAGTCCAGACCAAAAAAATGTCTAGAGACTTCATGTCCAACTAAGCAGTAAAAAGCCAGGCCGGAGGTATGGCTCTAGTAGTAGAGTAGTTTCTGTGATCTAAAAAGCAAAGTTACAATGCCAGATCCCTAGTTCAAACACTGGTACCAGCGCATACAAAGTTCTTCTTACCAGATACATTGCCTATTAGACCTGAAATCTAAAATCACTGGCAAAAGCCTATCTTTGAGAATCAAATCAAACAAAACATTGAGTTCAAGCAAGAACAAATGAACAAATCATAAAGGCTCAATCAGATTTTTTTTGGGGGGGGGGGTTCCGGTCGTGGGGCCTGAACTCTGGACGTGGGTGCTGTCCTTCAGCTCTTCAGCTCAAGGCTAGCGCTCTACCACTTGAGCCACAGTGCCACATCTGGCTTTTTTTTTCCTGCTTATGTGGTGCTGAGGAATCAAAACAAGGGCCTCATGCATGCAAGGCAAGCGCTCTACCACTGAGCCACCTTCCCAGCCCCAATCAATCAGATTCTTTTTACCAACCTTTATCAAGGTCTCTACTTCATGGAAGTCCTAGAAAGAAGAAAAGACAAATCATTACAAAGCAGGTGAACTGTTGGAGGTTGTACAGTTGGTAGCTATGATTAGACAAAGCTGACCTGGGAGTAGGTTGGATAGAGAGGCAAGTCCAGGATAATGCCATCCTCCGCTCTTCTGGCCTTTAGTTCCCCACTCAGAGTGTTAAAGGTTAGAGTGCTATTTGTATTTTCTGGCCAAAAACAAAAAAAACAAAAAGGGGTTGGGGGAAAGGATCAAGAAATATAAAGACCATTTGGGTACCATGGGCTCATACCTGTAATCTAGCTACTCAAAAGCCCATAAATGGAACATTGTGCTGCTTAATTGGAGATGAGAATCTCATGGATTTTCTTGCCCTGGCTGACTTCAAATGGAGATCCTCCAACCTCAGCCTTCATGGGAGGTAGGATTGATTACAAATGTGAGTCACCAGCACCTGGATATCTTCTGCCAATCTTGATTTCAAGAACATCCCCCTCAGTTCTTCCTCCATGCAATAATTGTGTCTCAGAGCTTAATTATTAGGCGACTTTACCCTGCAACTCCTTCCTTTACCATCTCATGTAAATGAACAACCGTAAGATCCCCATGCCCCAATTCACCTTGCCACACCATTCTGTTTGTGTCCGTGTTAATTGCTCTGTCTTTTGTCTCTCCTTTGAGGGTACCTCCAGGCACTCCCCGCCAAAGACTTGATCATTCCTTGACCATTAAAGAAATAAGGTCAGAGTGGAACTGACAATATTAAGTCCTTAAGGGAGTCAATAAGGAATTATTCAAACTCAGTGCAGGTGAGCTCTCATCTGAGAGTGAATTTTAATATGAGTGAGGAAATACTTGAACAACATGTGCCTTTTGAGTTCTTACCCCATATATAGCATGCCTGTTCTACTAGTATAAATTCTCCCAACTTATCGATCACATGAACCAGAGAACCCCTACTGAAAATCACATTTCATGTAGGGAACAGGCCATGGATGTCCAGTGTGTTCTCAGAAAGATCAAGGGTGACTGAAGGTCACTGTTTTCTGCACTTGTATGACATAAACGCCGCCGTGTCTTCCTACCAGGAAGAGCACAGTGACACTCTGCTTAAAGAAATTCACATTACTCATTTTGTAAAACAGCACAGCGGCAGAAGCAAGGGTAGCATGGCCACACAGTGGGACTTCGCTTGCCGGGGTAAACCACCTGAGTCCAAAGCAGGAACCTGCCAGAGGGGAAAAGGCAGAGAGAGACAAAAATCACTGCCAGGCAAACACGTCGCAAACTTCTCAGATTCTTCTTCTTTCCCAAACATTATGCTGACACAATTAAGAACAGAAGTCTGTTATAAACTATAATGCAGTCCAGACAAGCATTCTGGGGTTCCCTGGCTCTAAATTAACCTGAAACATTCATGTTCACTAACCTTCCAGGTCTGCTTAGTATTGCTATTGCAGAATACCACAGATTGGGTCATTTATTAAGAAGAGAAGGGCATTGGCTGTATTCTAGAGCTTGGGAATCCAACTTGACAGGACTCGCACCTGGAGAGGGCTTTCAGCTGCATCATTTCATGACAGAAGGCAGAAGTGCCAGAGAACGCGCCTGTGTGAGCAAATGAACAAGAGGGGCCCTGAACTTGCTCCCCTAAGCAGCTCACTCTTGGCTGGAATTGTGGCTTAGTATATGGAACTAGGTTCAATTCCCTGAGACTTTTAACTTTTACACTTTTTCCTGAGTGTGGTAGTACATGCTTATAGTCTCAGAATTCAGAAATAGAAGCAAGAGGATCAAGAGTCCAAAGCCAGCCTGGCCTACCACACTTGGTGGAGATATGTAGATTTGGACAATAAACGCTATAGAGCTTCGACATGGTCTTGACATGGATCTAGAAAAGAGGGCAGATTTTGCTGAGTTGCCCAAGAAAATGTGGGGGTGGGGAGAAGGGAGGACAGGAAAGAGAGAGCAATAGAGAGGGACATTTGGGTTGAAATATACTATATGTGAAACAAAAATGAAGCCCACTCGAGATAAAGAACAAACTTCCACGCTGATCCATCACCACTTCTCAGGCTCGCTTTTCAGCACTCTTAGAATGTATTTTCCAGTGCAAGTGTAAACTATAAACTTAAACTCTAGACATTTAAGCATACCCTCTCCCAGATGATCCAGAAAAACAACTCCCAGTGTACTATTTCCTGCAAATAATAAATAAATTTCCTCACACCAATCCTAGCTACTCAGGAGGCTGAGATCTGAGGATCACGGTCCAAAGCCAGCCTGGGCAGGAAAGTCCACGAGACTCTTATCTCCAATAAACCATCAGAAAACCAGAAGTGGCCCTGTGGCTCATGTAGTAGAGCTCTAGCCTTGAGCTGAAAAGCTGAGGGACAGTGCATAGGTCCAGAGTTCAAGCCCCATGACTGAAAAAATAAAAAATAAAAAAAGCTTATTTACTTTGGGTAAAGTTGTCTGTTGGGCTCAATTTTCGAACAAATGCAGTTTCAGACAGGTTCATTTCCTTTGCGATGTTTTGATATGTGTCATTCTCCAGTTCCTTCATGAAAACACAAGGAGCAAAACATTATATGCTTAAAAGAAAACCCAAGAAAACATACTTGGTAGCTGTGTGTTTGTTTTGTGTTATTTAAGTGCTAGGAATGGAACCCAGGTTCTTTTTTGTTGTTGTTTTTGTTTTGAGTCTGGTCATGGGGCCTGAATTCTAGGCCTGGGCACTGTCCCTTAGCTCTTCAGCTCAAGGCTAGTGCTCTACCACTTGAGCCACAGCGCCACTTCCGGCGCTTTTTTTCTGCTTATGTGATGCTGAGGAATCGAACCCAGGGCCTCATGAATGCAAGGCAAGCACTCTACCACTGAGCCACCTTCCCAGCCCCGGAATCCAGGTTCTTGTACATGCTAACAACTTTGCTATGTTTTTATTTTTTAGGACAGGGTCTCACTATGTAGCCTAGCCTGGCCTTGAACTCACTCTATCGCCAGAGCTAACTCTGAACTCACAATCTTCCTGTCTCAGCTCTCCAGTGCTGGGATTCCAGGTGTGCAACACCACACTTGATGGAGGTATGTACAGTTTGACAAGAAGCGCTATAGAGTTTTGATAAGGCCTTGCCATGGATCTAGAAAAGAGGTCAGATTTTGCTGAGTTGCCCAAGAAAATGTGGGCACAGAACTTTGTATTGGGACAGTGTGATTGGTGAGTCATGAACTCACTTCTGTTCTCTTTGTTAATCAGGGATTAAGGTATGATAACTTTGTTACTCTAGAATTCTGTTAACACATATGCAAGCACAAATGCTGAGTCATGTCTGTTTGCTTTTCTGAGTTTCAGTGTCTGGACACTGAGCTTCTATCACCTGATGACCCCAAAGATCCAAGAAGCAGAGTAAACTTTTAAAATGCTTCCATCTTGTGGCAGTTTAGAAATATGGCAATATAAACATGACAGCCCCTCTCAGTCCCTGTCCCTCTGCTGGACAAGACTCCAGCAAAAAAGAAAAAGAATTGATGTAGAAAGTTCTAAAATCCACCTGGGAAGGACTGCAAGCATCCTGAATCAACCAAATTTCCCATTGTGAAGCTATGCCCAGACAGTGTGGAATTTAAACCAAGGAACTGAGTGAACATAATCATTCAAAAGGGGGGAAAAGATATTAAATGGAGACCTGGAAAACTATAACGAGATTCTTGACAAACAATTCCATCAGTTTTCAATAACATTCAGCAGGAAGCTGTGCTTTGCAGATTGTTCCAAAGGAAGTTCACAATTCAGAAGCTGGGCACAAGTGGCCCAAGCCTATAATCCTATTTGCTCAAAAGCCTGGGATCTGAGGATCATGGTTTGAATCCAGCCTGAGTAAACAAAATCTGAGAGACACTTATCTCCAATTAACCACCAATTAACCAGAAGTGGAGCTGTGGCTCAAGTGGGAGAGCACCAGGCTTGATCAAAAAAGCTAAGGGAGAGAATCCTGATCCTGAGTTGAAGCCCTAGTACTAGCAGAAAGGAAGAGGAGGGGAGGGAGAGAAGGGGAGGGGGAAGGGGGAGAGGGATGAGAAGAAGGGAGGAGAAGGGAGCGGAGGGAAAGGGATAAGTCTGCTTGTTAATCATTCTCTCACTAATCCTCCCACTCTCATTACTGGATAAAGTTCCTAAAGAAACTTCAGGACTTGGAATCAGGTTTATTATTTTTCATTTATCTTTCCAAGCTTTAAAAATTACTGGTGAAGTCTATTAACTTTATTGCTATCTAATTTTTTAAAAAGAAAACATGAGCTGCAAGCTTGCCTAATGAAAGCAAGCCAGGGAAGATAAGGGAAGGACTTTTGATCACCATTTTCCTGCTCCACCTGAAGGGAGAGAGGAAGCCTTATAGGATATAGTTAATAACAACACTGATCCATCTCAGTGAAACCGCAGCAGGTCTGTATGTGCCTGCACACTGGAATCAAAGGAGCTTTTAAACCCAATGCTGCCTGGTGCCCATGCCCAGATTTGTTCTGGTCTAGGATGTGGCCTGGCACATGACATTTTAATGCACCTGGTGTGGACAAGTTGAGAAACATTGTGCTCAAAGGCGCTAATGGTTGTTATGGACAGCTTCATCTGTATGACTTATTTAAGAGCATCAATTATTTATTGTCTTCCTTCTTCTCTTTTCCTTTTTTCTCTTTCTTTCTTTGGAAGGGAGGTTATTGTTTTAGCGTTCTGATTTTTTTTTTTTTTTGGTCATGGAGCTTGAACTCTGGACCTGGGTGCTGTCCCTCAGCTCTTCAGCTCAAGGCTAGAACTCTACCACTTGAGCCACAGCACCATTCCCGGTTTTCTGAGTGGTTAATTGGAGATAAGAGTCTCAGGGACTTTCCTGCTAGAGCTGGCTTTGAATACAATCCTCAGATCTCAGCCTCCTGAGTAGCTAGGATTACAGGCATGAGCCACCACATCCAGCTAAAATGAGATACTTTGCCAGCTAAGTTCTCTACATCTCTTTTCTTTTCTTTTTCTTTTTTTTTTGGGGGGGGGGGGGGGTCCGGTCGTGGGACTTGAACTCTGGGCCTGGGCGCTGTCCCTCAGCTTTTCAGCTCAAGGCTAGCGCTCTACCACTTGAGCCACAGCGCCACTTCCGGCTTTTTTTTTTTTTTTTTGCTTATGTGGTGCTGAGGAATCGAACCCAGGGCCTCATGCATGCAAGGCAAGCGCTCTACCACTGAGCCACCTCCCCAGCCCAGTTCTCTACATCTCAGAACTCAATTACTTCTACCTTTCTACTTGATTACTTAGTACTTTGCACAGTGTCTCCTTTTCTTGGTTCTGAGAATTTCTAAATGTCGGTGCTACCGATAAGGTTAAAGACAGCTATCTAAAATAAGATAAGGCAACTGTAATTTCAGCCATGACTAGTCACATAAAACTCACCTAATTTCATTCCCCCAATGTTTGGCTTTAAGTAAATGAACCCCCCTGGCCCAAAGGAGCCCTGTGAGGGCAGGGCTTACTTAGGAGAGCACCTGCTTAGGAAATGCCAGGCCCTGAGTTCAAACCCCAGTCAAAACAAAGAAAACAATCAGAAAACTAGTTATTCCTTTATAATTGCCCCCAGTTTTTCTTCATGTTTCTGGACTGAATCTAGAGATTCACATGCTTATCAGATAATCTGATCATGAGGACTGGGAATATGGCTAATTGGTAAGTGCTTGCCTAGGCACTTGCTAGCATGCATGAAGCCCTGGGTTCCATTTCTCAGTACCACATAAGCAGAAACAGCTGGAAGTGGCACTATGGCTCAAGTGGTAGAGTGCTAGCCTTGAGCAAAAAGAAGCTTAAGGACAGTACCCAGGCCCTGAGTTTAAGTCCCAGGACTCGCCAAAAAAAATTAATAATAATAATCTGGAGCCAGGGCACCAGTGGCTAGCGCCTGTAATCTTAGCTATTCGGGAGGCTGAGATCTGAGGATGGTGGTTCAAAGCCAGCCTGAGCAAGAAACTCTGTGAAACTCTTATCTTCAATGAATCACCAGGAAACCGGAAGTGGTACTGTGGCTCAAGTGATAGAGCTCTGGCCTTGAGCTGAAGATCTGAAGGACAGTGCACAGGCCCAGAGTTCAAGCTCACGACCGACATAATTAATTAATTACTTAATTAATAATAATTTGGTCATGACCAACTTGAAGATATACCACCCCTGATGCCAGGACAAAGAACACAAACCAGGGGCTGGGAAGGTGGCTCAGTGGTAGAGTGCTTGCCTTGAGTGCATGAGACCCTGGGTTCCATTCCTCAGCACCACATAAGCAGAAAAAGCCAGAAGTGGCTCTGTAGCTCAAGTGGTAGAGCGCTGGCCTTGAGCTGAAGAGCTGAGGGACAGTACCCAGACCCAGAGTTCAAGCCCTACGACCAATAATAATAATAATGAAGAAGAACATAAACCAAAGACCTCAACAAACAGGAGAGTCTTACTTTCTTTTTTAAAGAAGTACTTGGTCCTACAGGACTGTTCAATTTCAGTAGTGTACTTGAAGCTCGAGTACTTACATTTTCCAGGAGGCAGACAGCTGCAGGGTTCCCACAAAATGCCCTTGCTGTGAATGCGTCTGCAATGAAAATCGGGAGCTTCATCTTCCTCACTGCAGTTTTTCACGAGGTCTCACAATTGCCAGTGTTCTGCTTTACTTCTTGTTATGGCAAAAAATCAGAAAGTTAATGTTTTACTCAGTGTAGTGCAGCAATGAACAGGTCCAAGATACAAAGTCAAGCAATTATTCTAAAACACCAACATGGAAAGCCTCTACATTGCATTTGTTTAAAATACTGGCTGAACATGCAGAAAACTAAAAGTGGACCCCAGCCTATCACCATGCACCAACATCAACTCAAAATGGATTAAAGACCTTAACATTAAACCTGAATCTCTGAAACTACTGCAGGACAGAGTAGGAGAGACACTTGAACTAATAGGCACAGGAAGGAACTTCCTGAACAGAGTCCCAGGGTCACAACAAATTGGAGAGAGACTTGACAAATGGGACTACCTTAAAATAAAAAGCTTCTGCACAGCTAAATCTATCACAACCAAGCTAGAAAGACAACCAGCTAATTGGGAAAAAATATTTACCAGCAATATATCAGACAAGGGGTTAACATCCTGTATATACAGGGAACTCAAGAAACTAATCCCTCCCAAACCTAACAAACCAATTACTAAATGGGCAAGGGAACTAAAGAGGGACTTCTCAGATGAAGAAATAAAAATGGCAAAGAAACACATGAGGAAATGTTCATCATCCCTGGTGGTGAAGGAAATGCAAATAAAGACAACCCTGAGATACCACCTTACCCCAGTCAGAATGTCCCATATCCACAAATCAGCCAACAACAAATGCTGGAGGGGATGTGGAGAAAGAGGAACCCTATTACACTGCTAGTGGGAATGTACACTTATACAACCACTTTGGAAAGCAGTCTGGAGGGTCCTTAGAAAGCTAAAGATTGACCTCCCTTATGACCCAGTCATACCACTTCTAGGCATCTACCCTGAACAACAGGAACCAATATACAAGGACACGTGCACCTCCATGTTTATTGCAGCACTGTTCACAATAGCTAGGATATGGAAACAACCCAGATGCCCCACCACAAATGAATGGATCCAAAAATTGTGGTATCTATACACAATGGAATATTATGCAGCCATTAGAAATGACAAAATAATGGCATTTGCAGGGAAATGGATGGAGCTAGAAGGAATCATGTTGAGTGAGGTAAGCAAAGAGCAAAGAGACAAACAGTACATGGTCTCCCTGATAAGTGGATGCTAAATCCAAAATGTTAGGTGATACGACAAAACTAACAGGACTTAAGAAACAAAGAACTCCCACTCATCTGGTCAAACCACTACTAAATATCCCCATGCTGCTGATCACATGTATGGTGTATATGTGTACACCGTTATATGTTATAGACTGTGATAGACAATTTGCTCCAGGAAAGTTAGAATGAACTTGTGACTTTAAATGAGCATCATTATTCCACAATACTGTAAAACTTGGGAAATTATGTAATCACTTAATCACAATTTTGAAAAAAAAAAGAACCTTGGGGAAGGTAGGGAGGGAAGGGATGATAGGGGGAAAACAATGGAGGGGGTAACAATGCTCAATAGGAAGTGTAATCATTACCTTACTCATGTAACTGTAACCCTCTGTATAGTATCTTTACAATAAAAAATTTAAAATAAAATAAAATACTGGCTGAATGGAATGAGTTTTTCAAGTTTATATGAGCTTTTCATACCAAACCAAGAACTCAGCCTACTCACAATTATTTTCTTAGTTTTACCCTCTCTCCCTCCCTCCCTTTCCTCCTTATTTCCTTCCTCTCTTTCTTTGCCCCTACTGGTGCTTGAACTCTGGGCCTAGGTGCTGTCCTTTAGCATTTCCACTCAGGGCTGGCACTTTACCACTTGAGTTACAGCTCCACTTCTGTTTTTTTGGTGGTTAATTGGAGATAAGAGTCTCATGGACTTTGCTGGCTGGCTTTGAACTGTGATCCTCAGATCTCAGCCTGCATCCTGCCTCTAAGTATAAAAATCTTGAAAAGTCAAAGTACTGACCCCTAACCCACACAAACAGAAAATAACATTTGTGTTTTAAATATAGGTTTTTAATCAGATTCTTGGGCTAAGATATATTAGTTGTACAAACAAGATCTTTTCTAAATATATATATATATATATATATATATATATTTTGGGGGGGGGTCCGGTAGTGGGGCCTGAACTCTGGGCCTAGGCACTGTCCCTCAGCTTTTCAGCTCAAGGCTAGCGCTGTACCACTTGAGCCACAGCGCCACTTCCGGCTTTTTTTTTTTAATGCTTATGTGGTGCTGAAGAATCGAACCCAGGGCCTCATGCATGCAAGGCAAGCACTCTACCACTGAGCTACCTTCCCAGCCCCTCTATTTTCTTTTCTTTAGGTAGTTGTATTTATTTTTCTGTAGGTAGTTGTACAAAGGTGCTGCTCTTCAACAGAGCAGTTTATGAATACATTCTCACCCCTCTCACCCCCCAAAGAAGATTCTGTTGTGACATTTCCACACATGCTTATAACGTAACCTGATCAACCCCAGGTCTTCTACCCCTCTCCCCATCCCACTCCCCCTTTCCAGAACAATCTCAACAGGTTTCATTGTTGTATTTTCATACAAACTGTCTGACTGTATTCACCTTCAATGCTATTCCTTCTGGTACACACCCTCCTCACCACTTTCCTGTCATTCCTGTTTTCATTTTGCATTAGTTATACTAAGTTGCTCTCAACCATGATGTTTCAGGTGTGTACATTCCATACCTTACTAAGAACAACCATATTGCTTTCTCCCTGTCCATCCTCCAAAACCGTTTCAGAAAAATGTTTTCATTGTTTTGGGCCACCACCACCACCACCACCACCACCACCACCCTCACCCTATCATGGGGCTTGAATTCTGCCTTCTTAGTCAAGGCTAGTGCTCTATTACTTTGAGTCACAGCTCCACTTCCAGTTTTCTGGTGGTTAATTGGAGATAAGAGTCTCACAGACTTTCCGTCCTGGGATGGCTACGAACCGCATCCTCAGATCTCAGCCTCCTGAATAGCTAGGATTACAGGTGTGAGTCACCAGTGCTTGGCTTGTTGGGAATTTTTTTTTGGTCAGTCATGGGGGCTGAACTCTGGGCCTGGGTGCTGTCCCTCAGCTCTTCAGCTCAAGGCTAGTGCTCTACTACTTGAACCACAGCACCACATCTTGCTTTTTCTGCTTTTGTGGTGCTGAAGAATGGAATCCAGGCCCTCATGCATGCAAAGCAAGCACTCTACCACTGGGCCACCTTCCCAGCCACCCCCTCACTCCACCATTTTTTTTTTTTTTTTTTTTTTTTGTCAGCCATGGGGCTTGACCTCTGGGCCTGGGCACTGTCCCTGTGCTCTTCAGCTCAAGGCTTGAGTGCTACCTCTTGAGTCACAGCGCCACTTATGGGTTTCTGGTGGTTAGTTGGAGATAAGAAACTCAGATTTTCCTGCCCAGGATGGCTTTGAACTGTGATCCTCAGATTCATGAGTAGCTAGGATGATAGCCGTGAGCTTTGGGCACCTGGCTGTTTGGAAATTTTAACAGTTATGACTACTTTGTGCCAGATTCCAAAGCTAGTTGCCTAGGGGCAAGAAGTTTCTCACAGAATGTTTAGTCCCTGAACTCTGTGCTAATTCCAAATAATGACAGCAGGATTTTAGAAAAAAGGAAAATAAGTTTTATTGATCTGACAGGCAAAGGAAGAAAACATCACACTAACACCAAAAGCTGTCTCCCTCCGCTGTCCTCCATGGATTGAGGATTTTTAAGTAAAAATCCAAGAAGTGAGTTCTGTATATTCAGAAGCCATGATTAGAAGCCATGACTCAGTGCTGGACGGTGATCTGAGGGGATCACTTATCTCCCGATTACTGGTGCCAATTTTCAAAGATGTATGTCTTGCTGACGTTACTTTCTTGCTTTCCTATGTCAGCAAGATAGGGAGCCAAATGTTAATCTTGAATTCTAATTTTGAATTCCCCCCACAAGGAAGGAATGGGAAAGACAAGAGAAAGAAAGAAACAAAGAATATTGGAGTCATCACACAAAGCAGGCTGGTTAGTAAAGCAAGCTCGCTTCACTAAAACTACAACCAAGAGCATATTTAGGTTGTCACTTAAAATTTTCCTGTTGGCATTTTTTTCCCCTCCTGTTTCTATGAAGACATAAGGTTTTGCGATCATCATTGCTTTCTGCTGAAGTTGGGTGATATCAGAGACGTTTTCTGAAAAGTGTATATACTTTGTCTTTGTCAGTAATCTCTGTATCTTTTACAGGCCCAACTGTGGTTTTGCATAGGTAGGGTATGCAGAATGCCCAGGCAAAAAAGTATATATACTGACCCACACAATGGTCATCTCAAGATGCAAGATAACTAATAAAACAGACTAGATACCATTTGGGATACAGAGAACAAGACTACAAAATAGTCAACCTAGCCCTGAAATCATCTCAGAGTGGAGAAATCCACGGAAGCACAGTCAAAGCTGACAAAGGAGTCTTTACTAGCTAGCCAGCGATGGCCCAGGCCTGGAATACAGTGTCTCAGAACTAAGAGCAGCCCGGACCTCTACTGGGGCAGGGATTATAAAAGCAAAAGCCACACAAAGGTTGCGGTTTTGCAAGCAAGCAAGCTGATTTAAGCAATTTCATGAGGTCTCATCCCTGAGTCATTAGGGGCAAAGGTATTCTGCAGCTGCTGGACATTAAAGATAGCACATAGCTTGGTCTGGAGCCATTTGACCCATTAGGAGCAGGGGTACGCTACACCTGCCTCACACCCAGGGCTTCATGCATGCTAGTCAAGCATTCTACCACTAAGCCACATTCCCAGCCCAGCCAGAGGGAATTTGAAGCCGGCACGTTTAAAAGTCATCTACTATACAGACAATTGTCGCTTGGGAGTGAAGAAAGCAGTGGCAAAATCTGGAAGCTGGAACATCTTGTGGTTCTCAGGTTTAAACACAGACCAGAATCACCTGGAGGTTTGTTCAGACTCAAAGCGCTGGGCCCCATCTCCAAGCCAGTGTGATTTTTAACTCTGTCTTCTCTGAATCCAGCTCAT